GTGTGTGAGTGTGTGTGTGAGTGTGTGTGTGTGTACTCTCATGCACCATGGTGGGAAGACTGTCCTCCCAAGCCTGCTCTTACTTGGACTCCAGAAAGAAGATCACACCCAGAGTGGGCTCCTTGGCACACCTGCCCTGCAAGCTGCCCCACAAAGGGTTCCTTGGTCAGACAGGGTTTTGCCATGTGCAGACTTTCTCCCACCAAGAGGCTTTCACAGGCACATTCAGTTATGTCAGGCTCTGGGCAAACACGTATAAAAGAAAGCGGTTACGTTCGTTCACCTGACTTCAGGTCTTGTGGGCGTTTCCTGGGGGAGCCCCATGCTGCTGCCCGAGGCCGCCGCACCCTGCACTGTGATTATGGAGCACATGGAGCTTGAGGGACTTGCCATGCTCTCCCCACCACTCATGCGGGCTTTCCAGTGTCTCCTTACTGCAGGCACCCCAGGCTGCAAGCTCCCTGCTAGCCCCAGACTGATACCGGAGCCTGAGTACACACAGATACACACTCACACTCACACTCACATTCACATACACAAACAAGCAAGGAACAGCGAGCATGTGTGTGGGGCGTCACCGAGGCTGCTTGGAGTCTGCTCAGATGGCTGAACCGTTCAGAAGCCTGGTCTCAGGACCAGGACAGGGAGGGGCCCTTACGCCCACCTGTCTCCCAGGGACACGGCTGGGACATGGAGAGGCTGCAGACCCTGCATCAACTGACCCTCTCCCCTCCCTCCCCTCCCTCCTTCCTCTGCCCTTTCCTGTCGCTGACTCTTTATCTATCCTTCCTTCCATCTTCTATCACCCCTCCCTCCTCATTTACCCCTCCCCTCCCTCCTCATTTACCCCTCCCCTCCCCCCCCCTTTTTCCCCCCCCCCCCCCCCCATTTTTTTTCTTTTTCCTCCTCCTCAATTTTTCCCTTTTCCCTCCTCCTTTTTGTTCCTCTCTGCTGTGCTCGCTCCTCTGTCTCCTCCTCACCTTTCTCCCCTTCCCGCCCATCGCACTGTCTTCCTGTCCGTTGTCCCCTCTCCTTTTGTTTTTTGTCTCTACCACCACCTCTCCGTAGCTCTGAATTGGACTTACCCCGTTTTCCCAGCCTTTGGTTCTGCTTTGCTTACCAACTCTCCTGGCCTTGAAAGCTACTAGAAGTCACAGCACTCAGAATTTGTGGTTTACAGAGCAAGGTGGAAGTGTGAGGGACTCACTGAAAATACAGTGAAGACGGTCATGGTGGTGGCCGTTTGGTGGGCTGAGGGCAGGGCGCTGTGCACTTGCTCAGACGTCCTGGGGGCGACTCTAGGACCTCAGAATGGTGTGGAGGCTGGGGCTGATGCCATGCCTTTGATGGGCACAGACTAGGAGGTTTCAACCTTCATCTTCTGGAGTCAGGCAAAGGCTCTGCCTGGGGCTCCTCAGAGAAGGGGACACCTTTCCGGGCAGCCAGACCTTCCTGCTTGTGCTGTTTCCTCTTACCTTGTGTCCAGAGTGTGGGGATGACGTCTGGGCTACCAGCAGCCGCACCATGGCATCCCATTGCTCGGCAGTCTGGCGTTCCCTTGCAGTCACGGTAAAGGCCACCTGCTCTGAGGGTATCTTCAGCTCCCGGGTGGCGAAGACTGTCCCATCTGCCCCGACTTTGAAGTCCAAGCTGTTGGTCTCATACTGCGTGCCTTTGGTGCCCAAGCAGCTGCTGAACTTGACTGCAAGAGGAGAGAAGGTGGTCAGAGGCCAGCAGGCAGAAGGCTGCAAAGACAGGCACAGCTCCTGGGCCCCCAGTAGTCCTGAGACAGCAAGGACCTCGTCGGGGTCTCCGCTGTCTTCCAGGAAAGAGGATGGATGAGCGTGCACCCTCCGAATCCGGGTGGACACCCTCCAGGCCCGCCACAGCTTCTGCACCCACGCAGGGGGTCCATGTGGCTCAGAGGGAGAGGAGAGTCTCTACCAGCTGGAAGACTTCCACGTTCCCACCTCTTGCCTCCCACCAGTCTGCCTGTCCGTGTAGACGCCCAGTCCTTTGGATCTGTTTTTGTGCCCAAGGAGACTTAGTGCAGTGCAGGAACCAGAGAAAGCCGGTGTCAGGACTCTCCCCTCCCCACGTCAGGACCATTCTGGAAGTGGGATTTGCACCGCTGGCACTTCCCTGACTTAGTGAGATCTGACACCTGTGTCCTGCTGGGGCAGAGGCAGGATGACTGGCCTGGCTCAGCCACAGACTGGCGTGGTTAGTCACAGAGTTAAGAAAGCCTGTTGACACGGCTGAGTACCCTGCATCATTTTGCTTCCAAAACACTAATTAGACCCCAAGTCGTCAGCCCCTACCGATGTGCCAGTACCTCGGCCATTTCCAAATCCACCACAGAAAGAGACATCTCCAAGAGAGATTGCATTTTCATCTGGCCCACGTTAGTGCATTTTTTAGACACATGCTTTTGTGACAGTCACCCAACTCTGTGGTAAATTATGAAGCACCAACAGCTGGTGTCACATTCTGCTGATAAAAGCAATGGATAAAGTTACCCAGTATTTATAAAAATGTGGGTATCTAAGCAATTATGGTGGGAGGATTGGTTTTATAAGCAATTTCACTGTCACAGCTTACATGATTTAATTACTATTTATTCTAGAAGCTAAAAAAAAAGTGACTTGCACTTACATTCGAGAAAGTGTTTTTCCTGCATGTTCATCTTTTATTGTTGCCTGCCTGGAAATAACAAATAACACGTGGGTTCCCGTGTTGCCAATCATTCGCTTAGAGGTGTCTCCCCAGTTGCTGGTTCCTCCTGCTTGTGGGTTTAATATGAACATGTTTTTATTTTATTAGTAGTATTTATTATTCTTTAGACAGATTTTTTCCTAGGTAGCACTATCTGTCTTGGAACTCTCATTGTAGACCAGGCTGACCTTGAATTTGGAGATCTGCCTGCCTCTGCCTCCCAGGTGCTGGGATTAAAGATGTGTACCGCTATGCCTGGCTTGAAAATGTTTTTTTGTTTGTTTGTTTGTTTTGTTTTTTGAGACAGTGTTTCTCTGTGTAGCTTTGGAGCCTATCCTGGCACTCACTCTGGAGACCAGGCTGGCCTCGAACTCACAGAGATCCGCCTGCCTCTGCCTTCCGAGTGCTGGGATTGAAGGCGTGTGCCACCAACGTCCGGCAAAAATGTTTTTAAATATAAGAAGTCCAGGCATTTCTGCTCTGTCAGGTGACAGAGAACCTGTGTAGAGAACCTGTGTAGAGAAACTGTCTGTGTCTTCTGAAGGTCAGGGTGTCTCTCTGTGTCTAAGTATCCTTGAAGCTGAAACTAGGTGGTTTGCACTATATCAGAGGCTAAGGCAACAAGGCCTTCTCCCAAACTTTCCTCTGTCAAAGGGTCTGGGTCCTCAAATGACTTGATGTCATTATGACTTCATTTGTATTGTGGGTTTGACTCTACCCTCTGACAGAGCAGAAAGGCCTGCTCTCATTTATATTTAAAAACACTTTGAAGCCTGGCATGTTGGCTCATGATTTTAATCCCAGGAGGCAGAGACAGCAGATCTCTGAGTTTGAGCCCAGCCTGCTCTACAGAGTGAGCTCCAGGACTACTCTAGAATGGAGATCTAGTCCACCATGACTTGGGAGAGGTAAGGGTCACCCTTACTCTGTAAGCATGCTACCCAGCTTAGTACTTACAGCCCCACAATGTAGGGCTGGCTGGTGAGACAGCTCACTGGGTGACGGCACCTGCCATGAAGCCCGATGACTTGAGTTTGATCCCTGGGGTCCGTATGTGGAAGAACAGAACCACAGCTGTCTTCTGATTGCCACATGTACGCGGCAGCATTGCTGCCTCCTCAGATAAGCAGCAAACAGATAAATGAATAAACGCAGTAAAACCATAATGCAGAGTCCAGTGGATTGTTCTCCACGCTGGGGCTGCTCACTCAGGAGGGGGTTGCCCCAAGAGGGTTTGCCTTGCTGTACTAAATGACTTCTGCTTAACCTATCCGAATCTCTCAACTGAATTCCTTCCCTCCAGAAGACAAGGGCTGGAAAGTCCCCACTTCTCCGGAGGACAAAGGGTTGGGTTGTGGCTCCCTGGCACTGTGTACTTTTCCACTGATGGATGAACTGATTTTTTTTTCCCAAATGAAGAGAAAGTAGCAAACGGTTTGCCCCAGTCATATACAAATTAAAATCAGCAACAGATCAAGTAGACTCATCGTTGCTGATCCCCAACTGTTACCAATAAAGATAAAAGTGACAGTAGCTGGGTTGTGGTGAGATCAGCACAAAATACACAAAATAAGCCCCATGAGCTCTAAAAGGCAATACTAGTAAAACCAATGAAACTCGACCGCACAGGGGACTGATCTAACTCCCCCAGGGGTGGAGGGAAGCAGGGAGCTCTCTGGATTTGGGGGAGGTGATGAAGAAAGCCCTTTGGGGGTGCAGCAGGCCCCCTAGAGGATTTCAGCAGGCACTGGAGTCCTATGTGCTGTGTGTGAAGAACAAGCTGCAGTGTTCACAGGGCGGCCACAGGGAGGTGGTGCTGGGAGCATAAAGCCCAAACTGCATCGAATCCCTCAGCTTGCTTCAGGACCAAGCCAGCACAAATGCCTTCTCTTCCCATATTAGAACTTTTAATGTTTATTATTATTATTATTTGAGATAAGGTCTCACTCTTTTGGCCAATATGGCTTCAAACTCACAGAGATATGCTTGCTTCAGCCCCCTGAGTGTTGGCATTACAGGTGTGCACTACCGAGCACTGGGCCTGGCTTCAGGACACTTTGAACATCTGTCTGTCTAAGGCTCAAACAGTAAAGCATGCAGCAAGCTGATGCCCTCTGACGGCTCCTGGCATTGTGTGCATCTCTTAAGTTACACCAGAGGCCAAACCTAACCTGTCAGAATTCCTTTCCAAGCCCTGTTGTGTGGAAGGGGCCCTCTCACAGTCACCAGTTCTCAAATCCAGCAGCCTAGCACTCCCTGAACACAAACACAGAGCCATCATAGTGGGTCCTCAACAGCCCGGCACCATTTCTTCCATCTCTGCAGAAGGCTTCAGGTGTCTTTGTTTAAAATGTTACCCTACACCTCTCCTGTTCCCACAGACCCAGCATCCCGTGCACCCTGCATCCCAAGGAAGCTCGGCTTTCATCAGGAGGCTGGCTTTACCCCTCCGCCCTTCGTCACTTTTAATTGTTGGCTGTATGGATGGAGCTGGGGTGGCACACTTTTGCAGAGCTGGCCTGACATTCATGGGGGCAGCAGACTGCATCTCCCCAAGACAGAACTGTGCTGTGTCTGTGAACACATCATTTTCTTATTTCCCTTGTTAGGTGAGTTGAGAAAGAACAAATGAGCCAGAGGTGAGCGTGTAGCTGGATCCTTGCCGAGGAACAGATGAGCTTCACTCCTGCTGTTCAGCTCACAGAACCAGCCATCCTCACCCCATCTCCCCCTCCTCAGCCCTCCCTCCCTCCCCTCCTCCCACAATTGCTCAGGGCCTCCCTACCACCCAGCCCTGGCTCTAGGTGTGCAGGCTCAGAGCCTGCCCAAGTGGATCTTGGTGTGCAGAGGACAACAAATGGACAAGCCGGCGTGTAAACAAAACCCTAGTGGCCAGGACAACAAGGAAGGTTAGAGGGAGCAGTGCAGAGGAAGTATCTGTCCCTCCTCAGTGTCAGGACAGGTCCCGAGGTGAGACAGCCCTGGGATGAGGAGGGAACGGACCCGCGGAGGATCATGGGAGATGCTTAGTTGAGCGTGATGGGATGGGGATGACCTTGTGGGTGAGTTGGGTTTGCTTACATAACATGGGTGATGATTTTTCTATAGACTGTGGGTGGCCTCAAAGGAACCACACTGGAAAAATTTTCACCCAGCATGGTGGATGTCCCCCACCCCCACCCCCGCTCTGCCGCTGACCTTCTTCAGACCATTATTCTAGCACTGCCTAAGACCCCAAGGCCATGGGCAACTAGGGCAGAACTGTACAGATAAGTGGAATTCAAGTCCTGGCTGTGCTTGAACCTGTGACCTGGGTGCCAACCTTATACAATGAGTGTCATTGAACACCTGCACAGACCCCATGTCCAGCCCACGATGAGGATGAACATGAAAGAATGTCCTCCTCAGAAAATTCACCGTCCCTTGGGGAGGGTAGAATTACCGCCTCGGCTCTACTGGGGACCTGTTCTGGAGGGTGAAGGAGACTTGTGGCTCTCAGGCTCCCTAATAGGGCAGGTTTGAGGAGAGGCCTGAGAGATGGCGCAGGGAAAGATTATTTCAAAAAAGGGGTCAGGCTTCCCACCATCTGTGGGTTAGGGTTGTCAGCAGCTGCCTTGTCAGGGATAAATGTACAAACCTCAGTTTCCCTCGCTCTGACTATGGCTGTTGGATGGAGCTCGGATGCAGAATGCATCCGAGAAGATGGTTCACCAGGCCAGCCCGACTTTTCCACACTGCAGAAAGGGAACTGTGTGGCACAGCAGGAAATCAGGGTTGTCAGGGCTGGGGAGGAGAGAGGATGGAAAAGTGGACATGGAGAAGGCCCGGGGAATTCTGAGCAACAGTAGCATGTGGACACACCTGATGCAGATGCTTTAAGACTGTGACCCCAGCAAATTACTTAATACCCGTGTGTAAATCTGGGCTGTCAATCACAATGAACAGGTAGAAGACTTGAGCAATAGAGCACCTGGGCAGGGCAGGAAG